TTTACATACACACCCATTTACACCACATTTTGTTTACCCATTTATTTGTTAATGAACACGTGGGTTGCTTCTAACTTTTGGCTACTGTGAATAATGCTCCTGTGAACATCTGCTTGAATCTTTGTTTTAAATTCTTTTGAGTATATCCTTAGAAGCAGAATTGCTGGATCATGTGATAATTCTGTTTTTGAACTTTGAGAAACCATCAAATTGTTTTCTATAGCAATTGCATCATTTTACATTCCCACCAACAAGCCACAACAGTTCTCTGTACCTTTTTGTTTTGATAAGACACATGAATTTTTCTGGAAGATGAACTTATGGTACCCACATTTTTCTTGGGTGTCTATCATACATTCTTCTGTGCATCCACATTGTCAGATTTTCTCTGATACATCTATCTATCTATCTATCATCTATCTATCTGTCATTCTTGTATTTCAATATGAAGATTTTATTTATTTTTAGGTCATTTTCTATTTTCACCCTTAATAAGGAGCAACTCACATATATCAGTATTTTTAGAGATGATACCTAAGTGAATATTCAACGTTTTACATCTTGTGACCCTCACCTCTTCTCATATTAATTATCCACTTCCAAAGCAATGCCTTAAACATCATCATTGCTCAGAACTGAGTGTTTTACTTCTGAGATTTTTTTTTTTTTTGTACCCAGGCTTACTGAACCCAGAGATACCACTGAGCTCCATCCCAGCCCTTTTCATTCATTTTTATTTTGAGACAAAGCCTTAGTTTCTTGAGCCTTAGACTGGCCTCAAACTTTCAATCCTCTGGCCTCAGGCTCTTGAATTGCTGGGATTACAGGTGTGTACCACCACACCTGGCCACTTCTGAGATTTTAAATAGCAATGTTCTTGACCTGACTATAACCTCCTATCCCTTCAGGTCTTGAATTTTCTTAGTCCTATTATATTTATTCTGTAATCTCCTTAAGATTTATGGTTTCTTGATACTTCCTTTTTTTTCCTCAGTATACATGTCCCTTCAACTTTATTTTCTTACCTATTTAGCTTAGAAAATCATTTATCATTCCAACAACATTTTTTGCTAGTACCCTCCAATCTTCTCTATTCTCTACCATTTTCCTCTTATAATTTGGAATCCTAAGACAGTTCAATCCTTTGCCTTTTTTACTGTTATACAAGGGTACTTGAATGTAGCATCCATCCCTAGCTGAGTCCTCAGGATTGTTTGACTTGGCTCCTTTTTCTCCCTGCTGACCTTTTGTGGTACTGGGGATTGAACCCAGAGCCTGTACACACTAGGCAAGTGTTCTACCACTGGACTACATTACATCCCCAGCCCTTGACTTGATTTTTTTTTTTGCCCATATTCAGTTCTCTCTCCCATTCTGAACTTGAGTGGTTATTCTAACCCTATCATTCCTGGCAGGGCCTCCTGACCGCTCATCTTCAGAAGCTCACATCAATCTCTATTTTTTTGAAGCCTCAAATTTATTTACACTCTGTTATTCTTTTACCTCTTTTACTCCTATCTATGATTACAAGTTGGCCATCTTCCTGTTCAACATAAACTCTTCTGCAAATACTCATAAGTCTCTTTCTTTCTACCTTCTCCAGAGTCTGTTCAATAATACTCTTATGGGCTCCTTCCAATCAACCATACAAATTCAAGAATTTGCCACTTTTCAAAACCAAAAAAAGAAAATCATTAACCTTCCTTCCTTTCTTCTCAACTGTCATTATTATATTTTTTATTCAAGTTTCTTAAAGGATTATGCCATTGTCCAAATTGCCATACTTCTTTACCTATTGTTTCTCTTCAATTTACTGAGAACTGTTTCTTTTATATTTAATTCTCTAATGAAACTTTTTTTTTGTGGAAGTCACTAATGACCACCAAATATCAAACACAAAGGATACTTTTAATTCTTATCCAAAACAACTATTTAGTAGTATTTTGCTTTTTTTTTTTCTTTTTGGAAATCTCCCCTTAGTTTTAGTAATTTTTTTAATATATTTTATTTTTTAAGTTATCAGCAGACACAACATCTTTATATGTGGTGCTGAGGATTGAACCTGAGCCGCATACATGCCAGGCGAACGTGCTACCGCTTGAGCCACATCCCCAGCCCCTAGTTTTAGTAATTTTACACTCATTAATTCTCCTACTGAATTGTTTAGAAGAAATCATGTTGATGTAAATAGAAAAAAAGGCCTCTGAAAACAAATATTTTAGCTTCATACTTTTCAAAATAATTGAGGATCTGCAACTCAGCAATGAGAAGGAGCCTTAAGAACTGGCATCTTAGTTTTTTTTTTTTTTTGAGGAAGTAATGTCAGTTCATGTAAGATTATCATACATCTGTTAAAATTCTTAGACACTGTCATTTTATCAACAGAGCACCTGCTGTCCTATCTCACAAGGGTAGCAGAGAAGTTTCCATAAAAATTATTCATATAAATGGAGTAAATCTGCTACCTCCCACACTGTAACACCAATAGGCAACAATCATATGATGTTGATATAAGCCTGTGTGTGTGTGTGTGTGTGTGTGTGTGTGTGTGTGTGTGTGTGTGTAGTACTGGGGATAAAACCCAGGGGTCCTCAATCACTGAACCATGTCCCTAACTCTTTATTTATTTTGAGACAGAGTCTTGCAATGTAGGCTGGCCTCAAGCTCCTGAATAGGATTATAGGTGTGCACCACCAGGCCTGGCTCATAAGTCTTAATAAAGGGTTAATCATGTATCCTTTTAATATTTTACTGAGACCCTAATTTAATACAGCTAACAAACATGCATTTGAAACACTAGCTCTAAAACTTGGCTGCACATGAAAATTTCTCGGAGCTTTAAAACACACCTATACCTGATGTAATAAGCCCAGGTTGTATAGGGAGGGCATCAGGATCAGGATTTTTAGAGGTTCCTCAGGTGATTCTAACAGTAGTTAACAGTTGAGAATCACTGGTATAAAGAGAGAAAAGACTATAATATTCATTTAACAGTTAAAAAAAGGAATAAATATATTCATTCATTATTGGAGTTTGCCTACCTGCCCACCTGAATACTCATCTATGGCCACTGATGGTAACTGCAAAAACAAATGATTTCCCACATTCAGTGACAAACTAAATGGCTTAAAACAACTGAAATTTAATGTGACACAGTTCTGGACAAACTGGTCTAAAATCAGGTGTCAGCAGGACTATACTCTCTCTGTTGGCTCTAAAAGGGAATCCTTCTTTGCCTTTCCTAGTGTTTAGAGGAACACATGGCCATCTTCTCTCTCTCTCTCTCTCTCTCTCTCTTGTTACCAGAGATTGAACCCAGGGATGCTTAAATACTGAGCCACATTCCCAGCCCTTTTAAATTTTTTTTTTTTTTTTTTAGAGACAGAGCCTCCCTGAGTTGTGTAGGCCCTTGCTAAGTTGCTGAGGCTGGCTTTGAACTCTAGAACCTCTTGCCTCAGCCTTCCAAGCTGCTGTATTTACAGGGATGTGCCACCACCCCTAGCTCTGTGTTACTTAATATTGTCTTTCTCTCTTGTCTTTTTCTCTTTTGCTACTGTGGATTGAACATGGGGCATTCTACCACTGAGCCCTTTTTAAATTTTATTTTGAGATAGGGTCTCAATAAATTGCTGAGTCTGGCCTTAAATTTGAGATCGTCCTGCCTCAGCCTCCAGAATCAATGGGATTTTAGGTGATAACTATCATGCAGAGCCAGATTGCTCCCCTGGCCAGCCCCTGCTTTTTTAAAAAAGCACGCCAGTCAGATTAGGATTCATCCTAATTACCCCTTTTTAATTTGACTGCTCTGTAAATGACCCTATTTCAAAATGAATTTTCAAAACATTCTGAGTACTGGAGGTTAGAGTTCAGCATACCTGTTTTGGAGGTGACACATTCAATCCATAACAACCAACTGCTGCAGATGTCATTGACACCTTCAAAGCTGTCATATACTTTTCATGTCATATACTTAAGTATTTGCAGTTATATAAAAATACCATTCACAGTCATTAGATATGCTACTAGAAGTGACTATTTAATGCATTTGTAATGATGACATTTAGCAATATTGTATTGTAAAAACTTCATAATTGTATTCCAGTAAAATTGATTTTGATTTAGTTGCATTTATCAACATTATATTAAGAAGAGGTTCAAATTAATAACAAAAACAACTTTCAGTACAACTTCAGTTAGTGAATTCACATTTCAGACTTGAGGTTATTTTTAATATTAGTAGTTGAAAAATCTGTAGGGCATCAGTGTTTTCAAACTTTTTTTCTAAACCATGATTTACTGTGAGCACACATATTTTGCATATAACCCAATATATAATCTTATCCCTCTCTTCACATACACATCAGAAAACTGACACAAAAATAAAACAGTATTTATTCTTACTATACAGGATACAATCTGACATTTTCTGTTCTATTTCTTTTCATTAAAAATGCTATGGATCATCGGTAGTGCACTTGCCTAGCATGTATGAGGCATTGGGTTTGATTCTCAGCACCACATATAAATAAATTTAAGAAGAAAAGCCAGTTTTGACTTTTTGAATTAATTTTACAAATACTGGAACATAAACTTAATTAAGTCAGTCAAAAATCCTTTAGAGACATTTCTTTAGAAACTTCTCATAAGTATACTATAATACTTGAAAAGTTACTATGACTGCTACTGACATAGTATTTAAAAAACATGTATCACCTTAGGGGTGGCATTTAGTTCAATAGCCAACAAGGTTTCATTTAGACATCTAGTAATGAGTTATGTAAATTTTATGATTTTGGTGGGAGTTTAAATTTTACCAAATGCAGGAAGGAAAAGAGGTAGAATGATGAATATTTTTGGCTAAATATTTTTAAAGTTACAAAAATGCTTTGACTGTGTAATTTTTAATTTTACTTAAGTATCTCCTCATTCACTATTGTGAAATTAGGTAGAAACATTTCCCAAACAATATTTATTTAAGCCCAAGCTAAAAAGAATTTTACCTGTAGTAAACTCGTAGTGTCTGGATTTCTTCTTCCAATTTTTTGTACTGTTCAACGGCAGCTTCTCTGGCTTCTTGCATTGATAACAACTTTGCCTGTAAGTAGTTAACATTTTTAAAATTTCAGTATTAATTTTGTGGTGTTAAAATATAGTAGTACAGTATGAATAGAGGTCTTACATTTCTGGGAGCTGAAAAACTTATCAATATTTTTATTAGTGTCTTAATTTCACAGAAAATGATTAAAATGTATTAATAATAGAAATACCAAAGACATGAACAGTAAATTATGAACTTTGCTCATTACTAAACTTCTACCTTATTTTATCTGTATCATCAGATATATGCCCTTCTGCAATGTTTAACTTTATACACAGAATTCAAAATGTTGTACATGAGTTCAGAGCAATATCTAGGGTAGAGATAAGCACAATGGGTGTTTCACATACAAATTGAATGTGGCTTCACTGCCTAATCACATTAGATTTTCTTTTAACTTTATTAATAGTAAAGCTCAGAAAATTCTAAATATGTTGCCAAGCCATCTTTGATATTTAATGTGAAAAAAAATACCTGACATATCTGATTCTTACAGAAATGATTTAACCTTTTCGATTCCTTTTTGTTAGGTGAAAAAAAATCCCTAAAAGGCAAATGTTGGAAACTTTGAATGCTAGAGATTTCAAATTAAATTTATTTTAACTGATAACTTGAAAACATAAAAATTATTCTAATTAAGTAATGTGATGTTTAAACACATGTGTATATTTTATGATGTTTAAATCAGGTTAAACTCTAACTCCTCAAACAGTTATCATTTCCTTATGGTGAAAACTTCGGATATATATTTTTTTAGTTTTTTAGAAATGTATTGTTATCAATAATGTTTTTGATAGGGTTAAAAACAGTAATTTCAAAACCTTTTGTTGTCTTTTCACCATCTTTCACACTAGATTTTAAGAAATTCCAAAAGGGTTTTCAGCATAGTTTTTTAAATATAGCACCAGTAAGCAGATTTTAGTATTATTAATTTGAGATTAAATTTGCATGAAAAGATTGTTTTTTACCCGAAATGTTGTTTGATAGATAACACAAAGCAATCTTATTGTCACAAACCTCACAAACTACATCAATGCCAATACTTAAAAATAATTGAAAGTTTCAAGTGGAGTTATAAAATGTTGCTGAATCCATTGTGATTTTGGTGGGATTATTTTCTTGCATAAGAATGCAGTCATAAGAAAAATAAAAAATCCCAATTACAGAAAAATTAATTAGTGTAATGAAAGTGAACAATAGATAATGCCATTTTTCTATTTTAATAACGGAGAATTATAAAAATGTGCAGCAGTTTTGATATTTGCATATAAAGTTTAGGCACAAGATATTAATTTGTTCTCTATCTGGGCTAATAAATTCTAACAAAGGGTTCTCTTTGTAATTAAACTTAAGATGTTTGAATGCTTATTTTAACATGGTGTATTCCATAATTATAGATGAAACACTCTAACAAATAAGGAAAAATCTTTTAAAATAAAAGAGTAGGATTTTTTAAATTGTACATGGACACAATACCTTTATTTTTTTAAGTTTATTTTTATGTGGTGCAGAGATTGGACTCAGTGCCTCACACATGCAAGACAAGCACTCTACTGCTGACCTACAACCCCAACCCAAGTAGTTGTTTTTGACATCAATAATTAACCACTTCCCCAATTTTCACTGTACCCTAAAGTATGGACTGTAATGGTACTTTGGAAGGCACAGATACTCACTATGACTAACAGCAACTTAAAAAGAATCACACAAAAAAGATCACGTTGCATTCAGTTCAATAAAACTTCAAATATCCTGTTGCTTGTATTTAAAATACATCAGTAATAGTCAGGTAACAGAAACTTTGAAAAATATGCCAGTGCTAAATACTTTAGGTGATTATTCTGATTTTTTTAAACTGATAGTTCTGCAAAGAATAAACACAAAAAACTAAAACCAAACAAAAAAAGCAATGTTCTTGTAGGAAAATACCAAAATGTAGATCTTTGCTTAGAAACTTCCATAATGAAAATGGATTGTGAGAACTTAAATTTCTCATGCTTAAGGAAATATTGAACATTTCCCTTTTACTCCCACATTTAAATGGTAATGAAGATGCAGTGTTGCTTCATAAACAATTCAATTTCTTATTCTCAATGTCTAATTTTCTCTCTATAATCTGGTGACTATGTCAAGGTTATTATAAACTTTCTGGCTTTAAATCTCCTTACTTCATCTGGTCATGCTGTCTTTGAGGGAAAATCTCCTTACCCAATGGCACAGGGCTACTACTTCAGACCTAGCAGCTAGGATGAACTTCATTCTCTATCACCTCAGATACAAGATCCAGGTTGTCTCATCAGAGTACTCCATCCCACTATCCCAGATGAAAACTGATTCCTGATGACATCATTTGTACTCTTAGAGCTATATATGCCAGAAGACAGACGCAGATCTACTTCTTAGACTTCCTGGGTAAGTAAATCCTTTTTGTTTCAGAGCGGGGCATTGTGTTAGTGAAGTTTGAATTGAATGTTTGTTACATGGAGCATTAAAAACTAATTTTAAAGTGCTGTTTACTTCTATTGTATTTCCTAGAGTCTTCATTAACATAATTCCATCACACTATAAGTAAAAAAAATGAATTTTATTTCAAAGTATTAAGGAAATTAGCAAATGATATTTTTCCTGTTTTTTTTTTTTTTGAGCATACCATTCCCATTTTCTGGCAGTTTCTTCTATAAAAACTGCATGCTATCATCTAGGTACATACTCACATAATTAAATGCATACAGTAAATAAAACTAATGAAACTTAGGGTAAGAGAATGTTCGATATAAAGTAAGTCTCCCACTTCCAATCTTCAGTACTACATATCCCCTCTAGTGAGATTGCCAGTTACCTTTTTGTTGTGTTTCCTTCAAGAGATATTCTATGCATTTACAAACAGAAACTGCCATATTTGTGTTTTTGCAAATAAATACATCCATTTATAAAACTGAAAAATTGACAGCATAGATAATGCCATTTTTGGTATTATCTTGCTTTAAATTTTTTAGAAATTTTCTATTTTGCTTTAAATTAAAAAAATCAATCATCACATCCCACAAAATCACATCACCAGTCATACCTACTTCCTTCCCTCACAGACATAAAGTAAAACATCTCTGTGAGTTGGGGTTCATCATTTTCAAGAATATTTTATACTTTACTACAGAGTTATATCCTTATAGATATTGTATCTTTATGTATTCATGGACAATTTTTTTGGTCAGTTATTCATATTGATACATGTATCTTTTCCTATAGCGTTTTTTATACATACACTGTGATTATTGATATATTTGGACTTGTTTTTACACATTACCTCATATTTCACAGTAAGCATACTTTGTTTTCTTTCCCCTTAGACTTATGTTGGAATAAATTTTCTATATTTCCCTTATACTATACTCTTCACATTCTCTATATATGCTAATTGAAAAAAACATTTTTTTTTTTGGTACTGGGGACTGAACTTAGGGGTACTTAACCACTGAGCTACCTCCCCAGCCCTATTTTGAATTTTATTTAGAGATAGAGTCTCACTGAGTTACTTAGCACCTAGCTTTTGCTGAGGCTAGCTTTGAACTTGAGATTCTCCTATCTCAGCCTCCCGAGACTCTGAAATTATAGGAGTGTGCCACCGCGTCCGGCTCTAATTGAAAATTTTGATAAAATTACTGAAAATATATTTTTGAGCAGTCTACAGTGAGTCAGGATTTCTATAGAAAATTGTAATTTTAAGTGAACATGCTAATACAAGTTTTATGCTTATACTCTTTTTTTAGGTAAAGTTTTTATGCTTATACTCATTTTTTTAGGTAAAGTTTTTGTTTTATCAAAACAAAACATGTATGCAATATCATATAAGTATGCACATGGATTTTTAAAGTCAGGATAATTAAATCATAATTTGCATAAAGCAACAATTCACCCATTTTCAGTATATAGCTTTTTATACACAACAACTGATATGATTTTTGTCCCTACAGTTTTTCTGTTTCCTAGAAAGTTATATACATAAATATGATGCAGTCTTTGAGTCTGGCTTCTTTTATTTAATATAATACTTTTGAGATTCATCTATATTATTGCATGTATCAGTAAGTGATTCCTTATGTCACTGAGCAATATTACTTTCTGTGAAGGTACTAAGTGATATTGGATTTCTCTCATTTTTGGCAATTATTAATAATGGGGCTCTAAATATCTGCATATAGGTCACTTTGTAGACATTTACCTCCATTTCTTTTGAGTAAATATCTCTAGAAGTAGAAATGATGAGTCCTATGGTAAGTGTGTGTTTATATACTTTATAAAAAATCACTGAACTTGCTGCATATGTTGAAATAACTTTAAAGCATCTATGCTTAACTGATACCAATACTTCTTATTAAATGCCTATCTATATAGGTTAAAAATGTATCAAGTGCTTGAAATATGTTTTTATAACCTATCTTGCAACAACCTATTAGACAATTCCAATTATTGCTATTTTACAAGTGATAAAACAGGTTCATGGATATGAACTTAAGTAACTTACAAAATCTAAGTTTATACTTAAGTAACTTATAAATATAACAGAGCTAATGACTGGTGGACTAAAATGCAAATTCAGGTCTGTTTGACCCCCGAACACATAATTTCCCTTTATACCACCGTATAATATTCTATGATAACCATATCTCTATATCCAGGTAAAACAATGGAATCAAATCATCAATTGGTAACAGAGTTATTGACAATATGGAGGTTCACAGAATAATGAGAATGTGTTTTCCATCTTTATTATACTTTGAATATTCTTAAAGTGATTGAAAAAATATTGGTTAACTATTAGGTTAGTCTCATATAGTTAATTGCCCCATTGTATGCCTATCTTGAGTAGTCATCTAAATATGACAGCCATTTGTACTGGTATTATATTAGAAATGAAGTACATTGTTTCCTTAGAGTTTTATCTAGTAGTTTAGGATGACAGAAAAAGAAAAGATTACACTGTTTACAATATTGAACAC